AATGAATCAAATAACTGGAGCTCAGTACATATGTGTCATCTGCATATGGATGGAAACTGAAGCCAGTGAACTGGGAAAGAGGTGGAATGAATTCCTTCCTTCCTCTTCCCCCTTCCCTTTCTCTTCCTTCCTTCCTCTCTGTCTTTGTTCCTTCCTTTCCATGTTTTTTTTTAATTAGTCAGCAATATCTGAAATTATAGAGAAGATAAGTCAGCTAAACCTGGTCAGTAGATTTTTATAACCAGAAGCTTATTGGTGACTGTAGAAATAATAAATATATATGGCAGTGGTTTCAAGCTAGCTGCAAATAATTTTTAAAAGACACTTGGCTATAAAGAGAAGGAAAACTTGTTTCTTACAGCTAGCTTCTGCTGCCACTTAGTCGCTTCAATCATGTCTGATTCTGTGTGACCCTATGGATTGTAGCCTTCCAGGCTCCTCTCTCCATGGGATTCTCTAGGCAAGAGTACTAGAGTATGTTCCGTACCCTCCTCCAGGGGATCTTCCCAACCCAGGGGTCAGACCCAGATCTCCTACACTGTGGGGAGAGCTGTTATCGCTGAGCCACCAGGAAGCCCCTTATAGCTCGAGAAGAGTATAATTTAAGAGAAAATGTAAATGAGAAAGATTAGAACTGACAGGACAACTTCAAGAGGGTGTTTGAAGCATTATTTTTGCTGTTGAGACAGAAAGCCAGAGGTGGAGTTTAGTACAGATGCAAGAAGCTGAGGGAGCTTTTTCCCCGATGCTTCCATTTCTCTGGGAAATAGGAAGGAAAGTGGTTTGTGAGAGTCAGCCAGTAAGTAGGTGGTTGGGTAGAAGACCTGAATAGCAAAGGGTGACCAAGGAGAATTGGACAAATTGCCAAATGACAGTGGTATTTCAGTGGCCTCAGTCTACGCTTTTCTGAAGCTTTCTCCAGCCCCAATTATCTGCTGGGTATTCCAGAAGGTCAGAGAGATGGTCGACATGATCCTGAACTAAGGTTTTGCTGGGATTCTTTCGGAAAAAGTTACAAGACCTGAGGAAATTTGCAAGGTTTCTAAAGTGTTAATTCATGGGTCTAGACTTGATAGGGAAAGAAATGAATTGAGGAAGGGTATCCAAGACTGGGAGAAAGTAAAAGAGCAAAAGACTGTAGGTCTTGAGCTCTTAAGAGCAGATATATGTATGTGTACACACACACACAACACTCATCCTTTACTAGGTGTGTTTTAAGTATATCCCTAAATATCTTCAGATGCAGATATCCAGTTTTCTTAGTAAAATTATGGAATTAGATCAACTAATCTCATTTGATTTTTATTTCCTTGTTCTCAAATTTGATGATGCTGCATTTGTTCTGGAGGATTATTCCGTGAGGAAGAAGAAGCAAAATGAAGCAAAGCAAAGGCTAACAGAGTTTTGCCAAGAGAATGCACTGGTCATAGCAAACACCCTCTTCCAACAACACAACAGAAGACTCTACACATGGACATAACCAGATGATCAACACTGAAATCAGATTGATTATATTCTTTGCAGCCAAACATGGAAAAGCTCTATATAGTCAGCAAAAACAAGACTGGGAGCTGACTGTGGCTTGGATTATCAACTCCTTATTGCAAAATTCAGACTTAAATTGAAGAAAGTATGGAAAACCACTAGACAATTCATATATGTGCTAAATCAACCCCCTTACGATTATATAGTAGAAGTGACAAATAGATTCAAGGTATCAGATCTGATGAACAGAGTCCCTGAAGAATTTTGGATGGAGGTTCATGAGATTGTACAGGAGGCAGGGATCAAGACCATCCCTAAGAAAAAGAAATGCAAAAAGGCAAAATGGTTGTCTGAGGAGGCCTTACAAATAGCTGAAAAAAGAAGTGAAAGGCAAAGGAGAAACAGAAAGATATACCCATGTGAGTGCAGAGTTCCAAAGAAGAGCAAGGAGAGATAAGAAAGCCTTCCTCAGTGATCAGTACAAAGAAATAGACGAAAACAATAGAAAGGGAAAGACTAGAGATCTCTTTGAGAAAATTAGAGATACCAAGGGAACATTTCATGCAAAGATGGGCACAAAAAAGGACAGAAATGGTATGGATTTAACAGAAGCAGAAGATATTAAGAAGAGGTGGCAAGAATACACAGAAGAACTATACAAAAATGACATGAAAAAAAACTATACAAAAATTATCATGACCCAGATAATCACGATGGTGTGATCACTCACCTAGAGCCAGACATCTTGGAATGTGAAGTCAAGTGGGCCTTAGGAAGCATCACTATGAACAAAGCTAGTGGAGGTGATGGAATTCCAGTTGAGCTATTTCAAATCCTGAAAGATGATGCTGTGAAAGTGCTGCA